TAGGGAACTGACAGGGCTCAGAGCTGGTGGTCCTACCAATGGGGTTAATATAGGTATCTGACGGGGTGGGGTGCTCAGAGCTGGGGGTCCTACCAGTGGGGTTAATATAGGTATTGACGGGGTGGGGTGCTCAGAGCTGGGGGTCCTACCAGTGGGGTTAATATAGGTATCTGATGGGGTGGGGTGCTCAGAGCTGGGGGTCCTACCAATGGGGCGCAGGCCTGCACTCCTGTACCGACTTCTTTGTGTAAAAAGTGTTGATTGTGGATCATATGATGGTTTACATGGGAGAACATGAGCTTTACCTTCACCCTATCATATGAATCATGTGATGGTTTACATGGGAGCACATTCTCTTTACATTCATCCTATCGTATGAATCATGTGATAGTTTACATGGGAGAACATTATCTTTACATTCATCCTATCGTATTTCATTTCATTGTAATGATTACATTCCCCTGCATGCATCACCAACCAACCAAAGGGTACACCCCCGCATGCCTGCCCCCCAGCAGTCAGCACTCGGTCCCTTTCCCTCCATGAATCCAGAGTCCCCAGAGGCTCCATCTCTCCACATCATCCTCTCTGCCTCCATCTCTGACATCACTGCTTCTCTGGATAGGGTCCCACACTTCACTTTTCTCCCTTAGGTTCCAGTGACCTCAGCTCCTGGACTGCAAGATCAACCACTCCCCTCCTTTTGCAGTAACTACTTCTTGTGCACAGGAAAAGTTGGTTCTCTTTGTCCAAGCAAGGCTCTTCCAGCCTATTCACGGAGTCACTGAACTTTCTTCTTCCCAGCCTTTGCCTCTGAGAACAAAGATGTTGCTTCTTTCCAGGTCTCAGAGCCCCCCGCCCAGCTTTCATGTGTCACCGCAGGCAGATGATCAAAGCGCAGATGGACAACAGTGAGGATTCCGAAGAGGAATGGACACCTAGGCAGAAAGGTGAGGACAGCAGGATTTCAAAGGGTCAGGTGTAGAGAGCCATCTTCACTTCTGCTGTTTGACACAGTCCCAGCGGGAGGAGAAACATCATGCAAAGCAGGTGATTTTCAGAAGCTGGCTTCTATCTCCTCCTTAGGATAACTTTGAATTCACTTGTAAAAATATATAATATTGCCAAATTCACAGGCTTTTACTATGAGCTTTACAGAATTTGGGAAGAAACAATTATTTCAGCTTCAGTGGTCTGAATTCCAAGGGAATTGTATAAGCAACTCCCCTTCACAGAAAACCTAAGTGTAGAGTAACTAAATTTATGAGACCACAAAAGCAGATAACAGTCTGAAGTAAAGCTGACGACCACTATAGACCTCACTGCAATCAATTACCAGCAAGAATTCGCAAACTCCCACATTCCCTGCAGCAATTAGCCAGGTTGGGCCTTATGCCTCACAGCTTCAAATGAAAGAAATATAGGAACACTGAGGTTAAGCAATTTAATGGG